TTCTTGTAAAGTCACTAGTACACGCAGCGTTTCGGGCAGGTCCTTAATCTAGCAGATAATTTTAAGTAGGTAATTTCAATCAGAATTGATAAATGATAAAGATACATTACAAGAGAAAAATGAGATGAGAGAGATAAGTAAGTATATTAAAGCACATTGTTATATTAAAGCTCTGATTGATTACATTGATAATATGTATATGTATATGACACATATGGGAAGCAAATTGTTTTCTGAAGACTTGGGCCGTCCAAATTGAAAAAGTAAGTTATTCGTCAGCTTCTGGGCCCATCCTCCTCTGAAAATGGTACATTTCCATGAACTTGCACATGGTGGCAGCTGGAGAAAGGTGCAGGCAGTCCAACTATCAGTTAGAAGAGTGCTACTTGGTAGGCTCTTTGAAACTGATTAGTGCTTGAAAGGGGTTTTTTGAGTGTTGATGAATGTACCCTGTGGAGGACATTCAAAGCTAAATATAGTCTCCGTGGTGTAGTGGTAAGACACTCGCCTGGCGTTCCGCGAGCGTTTTGTCATGGGTTCGTATCCTGGCCGGGGAGGATTTACTGGGCGCAAATCCTTAACTGTTGCCTCTGTTTAACGCAACAATAAAATGTGTACTTGGTTGTAACGACGATTCTTCGCGGCGGGGATCGTATTCCAGGGACCTGCCCGAAACGCTACGTGTACTAGTGGCTGTACAAGAATGTAACAACTCTTGTATATATCTAAACAAAAAAATAGTTTCTAGTATCCCAAGAGAACCAATATCACCAAGAAGCAACAGTAAACCTTATTGCCTTCACATTACAACACTGACCTAGCAGCATTCACCTCTGTATTACTCAATCTTACACAATTCATCAAAACATTTTTCACCACAAGTCATCATCACTGCATTTACTTTTATAACATTGGCCAACACAGTAGTCACCATCACCTCACTTATTATTCACTCAAAACCTTTAAAATCCCAATGCTTACCATCACATCATCTACCTTCAAACCAAACAGAAAATTACCACACAGCATGCACCATTACATTATTCATACTACACTACTGCAAAAATCTCATATCTAAAAGAATGTTACCTTCACTGCCAAACTTTGAAACATCTAATACATTTCAATACAAAAATATGTTTAATTTACCATGCAGCTGAAGAGCATTCGACTGGAGAGGTCAGTTTTTATGGTGAATTCCTCTCCATATAACATCCCTGCAGATGTAAATTGATTAATTACAATACATATTGTGAATATCTAATCAGCACAAAACTCACACTACAAAATGTAAATACAGAGTAGCCATATTTATAAATGACTCATCTTGGTTCTTTAGTGTACAAATACTTCATGATTGAGCCCTGTTCATATGGACTAAAGATAGGTTTAACAAAGCATTATATGATAAAGAGTGCTGGGAAGATGGGACACCATAAACATAGCTCTCATCCTGTAACTACACTTAGGTAATTACACACACACACAATTTTGTGTGTAATTACCCAAGTGTAGTTACATGATGAGAACTACGCTTGTGGTGTCCTGTCTTTCCAGTAAACCTTGTCGTAGAACGCTTTGAAACTACTGACGGTTTTAGCCTCCACCACATTCTCACTTAGCTTGTTCAGTCTACCACTCTCTGCAAAAGAAAACTTTCTAATAATTTTTTGGCACCTTTGTTTCCTTAACTTGAATTTGTGTCCTCTTGTTCGTGAAGTTGCTAGTTCCAGGAATTCCTCTTTGTCAATTTGATCGATTCCTGTTAGTATTTTGAAAGTGATCATATCACTTCTTCTTCTATCTTCTAGTTTTGGCATGTTCAGTGCCTTCAGTCTCTCCTCGTAACCTCAGTGTATGTGTGTATTTACTATTTTGTATTAACAGAATCGAGCTACTAGCTTTTGGACCTTGCCTTTCTAACCAACTTATTTTTCCTCTATTATGTCTGCTTCATATATTTCTCTTACACACACACACACACACCATCACGAAGCAGCCCGTAGCAGCTGTCTATCTCTCAGGTACCTATATACTGCTAGGTGAACAGGAGCACCAGGGTGAAAGAAACTCTGCCCATTTGTTTCAGCTTCTTCCAGAGATCGAACCCAGCCCTTGGGACGACCTCCCCAGAGCGCTGTCCACTCAGCCACAAAGCCCCCAAGGTGGGGGCCTCTTGGGTGTGAGGTGTGTGCGTGCGTGCTTTCGTTGCTCTCTCAGTACTGAGGCTCTCATAACCAATACGGATGCTGATTTTTTTGAAGATGACATCTGTTTACTGGAGTCCTGAGGCACAGGAGCTGAGCCCCGAATACCCGCAGGAGTTTTGAATCGTTCCCTATGCATAAAAGCTCCACATGGTGCTCTGCGCACCCGACTGAGCACCTTAAGACCCTGATCGGGCCTTAAGGAAATTACTTGGGTAATTACCTTAATGTAATTACCTAGGGCACCTTAGGTAATCTAAGGTAATCTAATCTGATCAGGCACCTTAAGGCCTGATCAGGGCCTTAAGGTACCCAATCCCCTTTGCAGATCACTGCTCTGTGTAGTGAAGTGGTTAAGTGACAAGTTGGTAGATACCAAAAACCATCAGTAGTTTCAGAGCATCATATGGTGAAGAGTACTGGGAAGATGAGATACCACGAGCATAGCTCTAATCCTCTAATTACACTTCGATAATTACTACCAGAAAGGATTATGGCACGTGTTTTTATTTTCTTATAACTGTGACTTTTAGCTGCACAGTTAATAATTAAATTTAATTTACTAATGTGGATAATTCTTGCAGGACATAAGTATCAGCCCACTGACTGCAAACTAGAGAGAATCCTTCAGATTTCTGCAACACAGGTTCAATCATTTAGTGTTCATTTTACACATTTAAATATACTTACAAGCTAAGTGTTTCTATTTTATTATCATTTGAATTGTTTCTTCATAATTATTATTCTAGGAATTCCCCAGAAATATTGAGTTTAGAATAACTTATGTGACTCAGAAAAGTTATAAATGAACTAATTTTTAGTATAGAATTCCCCTACATTCCCCAGAAAAATCATCCTGTGAAAAAAGCAAGGTCTAATGAGGATAAATAATATGGATTCAAGTTTCAACCAATCACTCAATTGGTTAAGTAAATAATAACCACTATGATCAGCATCAATTTGTAACTATTAGAACCTAAACAAACAAAAGATACTTACGTACGGCATTTTGAAATATTCCACTGTGATTCAGTGAATAAGCCATATCAGGAAACTTTTTCATGACTTCCTTTGCTGTTGCCTGTGATGAAGAAAACAAAAAATTTGTAATATGTGCAATAAATAATTATTGTTTAATCACAATGGCAAATTCAAAACTCTTAAGTGGTAGTAAAATCGTATGCAGCAAATACTATACCTAGAATGGAATAATTTTACCAGGTAATGTTTTTGTGATACAGTATTTAAAAAAAATTATGTGCTAAATAAAATACATACAGCACTGTATTATGGACATCTGCAAAGTATATACCAGCTCATCCTCCACAAATTGATATTATTTATAGCAACTATTTGGTGGACCAAAAAATATACTGGTGGACCACAAAAAGTTTATATTTTGTATTAATGAATTAGTTCAAATGGCATTCTAATAAAATTGAAAATGCAACTAAAGAACATAACCTAAACTGTCCAACCAAACTTAGGCCCAATATATAAACTATCTTAAGCATAATATATGTGCTATATTAGACCTAGAAATATTTAAGTTAGGGTTTGCCCTTTTTTTGTGCCCTTTACAAAGTTGATAGTACAAAATGTGAACATCTTTTGTGCTAACAGTACAATTTTTTGTTCATTTGATTAAATAGTTGCTATAAGTACTATCATTTTAAAAGGGTGGGTTGATAGATTAAAAAGTCAGAACTAGTTTATAAAAATAATGAAGCCCATGTTAGATCTGAGGTGAATCTTTGCAATAATATTTGGAGGAAAAATACAAGCACTCATACTATTTAAATGGAGCTGCAAATAACTTCCAGCTTGTCTCAACATGCTACATCTCAGCAGCCAGATACAATTGAAAAAAATGGTAGTGCTCCCATTATTCAGACAGAGCTTTAGATAATATCCAACCTGTCTCAATTATCTAAATATCTCAACCTGTCCCAGATGTCTCAACATCTGGGAGGGATGCAAGTTTACTGTAGGTTTAAAACACTCATTTTAAGATACAAAGAAAAGGGTAACAGAGGAAGGTAATCAGACCGAGGTACATTAACTAGTAGAATGCAGTACAAAACCATGCAAGACTCAATAATGTTACTAGTCTATGTCATTGATCTGCCAGAGACTATTGTTACAGTACATGAATAAATTTGCATGTTAAAAACTCAGGCTAATCAAAGATCTAAGATTGCAGAATCTTTTAGCAAATACCTGGGTAGCTTGCATTACTGGAGTGAATAATGGCTGATGAAATTTAATGTAGAAAATTGTCATGCAATGGTGTGAAGGATTGGATAAGACCCAATGTTTCTTTGCAGTGACTGTTACAAGCAACATATCACAATTGGCCCTTATATATATGGCAAAGTCAGTGAAGCTTATGAAATAGAAGCCAACCTCCAGAAAGCATTCAAGTACATGGATGGTACAATGATTTTTTATTTATGAGGCCAAAATTAGAATACGTAGCAGTGCTGCAGTATTCACATCTAAAACAACGTAGTTTATAGGTGTGCAACAAAATGGATCTCAGAACTCAAGATATTTCCAACATGAAAAGAGGTTAGAATTTGTACAAAATATTTACAGGGTTCAAATAAGATAAAACAAATTTCTTATTGCCTTTACCAAACAGAGCAAAAGAGTACATATACAAGATCAACAAACTCTGCTGTAGAAAGCATATCAGACTTTTTCTTTTAATAACATTAAGTCTAGCAAATAAACAAGATCTTACCAGGTCTACAGGAAGCCGAAGTCGGGGCATGGTTGACAGGTCAGAATCTGAAATATAAAACAAAAAATTACCACTTTCCAATTAAATGTAACGAGGCTTAATTATATTCCATGTAAACTATTCTCAATGAGTGGAATCTAAATTTGGAGGCCTGATGGCTAAGTGGACAGCGCTCAATGTTCGTAGTCCTAACGGTCCGGGTTTGATTCCCAGCAGAGGCTGAAATGGGCTGTTTCTTTCACCCTGATTCCCTTGTTCACCTAGCAGTAAATAGATACCTGGGAGTTAGACAGTTGATATGGGCTGCTTCCTGGGTATGTGTATGTGTGTGTGTGTAATTACCTAAGTGTAGTTACAGGATGAGAGCTACGCTCGTGGTGTCCCGTCTTCCCAGCACTCTTTGTCATATAACGCTTTGAAACTACTGACGGTCTTGGCCACCACCACCACCTCACTTAACTTGTTCCAACCGTCTACCACTCTATTTGCGAAGGTGAATTTTCTTATATTTCTTCGGCATCTGTGTTTAGCTAGTTTAAATCTATGACCTCTTGTTCTTGAAGTTCCAGGTCTCAGGAAGTCTTCCCTGTCGATTTTATCAATTCCTGTTACTATTTTGTACGTAGTGATCATATCACCTCTTTTTCTTCTGTCTTCTAGTTTTGGCATATTTAATGCTTCTAACCTCTCCTCGTAGCTCTTGCCATGTGTGTGTGTGTAATTACCTAAGTGTAATTACAGTTTAATTATGTGTATTATTTAATTAACTAAAACTAATATTTAATTAACTAAGTGTAATTATGTGTGTGTGTGTGTGTGTGTGTGTGTGTGTGTGTGTGTGTGTGCGCGCGCGCACAAACCACAAAGATCATGTGTTGCGTTTATATACACAGAACAAGAATCCACGGTCAACAGAGTGTGGCAGGGGTTGCCCGAAATATATTTTTACATAATTATCTGTGTCTGTGAATGTTTTTTTATATAGTTTTTTACAGTAATATTATTCAATAGTGCGTAATATATGGAATGCATATAGTTTAATGTGTGGAACCTCGCTATTCTCAAAAATACGGAGCACATATATGGTGACATTGTATTCTTTTATCAACCAGTGTTCTCATTGTTATTACGCTATACACACGTTATATATCACTATCAACGTTTACATGGCTTTAGGTATTGTTGTACTAGCTCTTTCTGTAAATCCAACTTTATGTTTGTAACTCATCTTCTATGTATGTACTTTTACCTGAATAAAAATTTTAATTTGAAATCAAAACACAGCATGGAGCCACAAGCAGACTACACCAGCAGTCACATGATGCAAGACAATGCTTCCAATATTCTACTCATCTCGGTATGACTAGCTACAAAAACCGCTGATATCACATTCCTGTCACAAAATCCGAAATATGAATCCATTTCCATAACAAAATGAACATTGGTGACAGAACATAAGGTCGATTCATGATGCATATTTGCAGGAAACAATGACTGTGTGCTGTCTCTATCTCATGCTGTGAATATCATAACATTGTGTTCACCGATATCTGAACATTGTACATAGTCTTTATCACAGCCAGGATCATCTTTAACACTTTCAATGCAAAATAATTTCAGTTACCTATTTTATTCATCATTACTAAGTGGTGCTGTTGCCCTTAGCTGCAGAGGTGCTGTGCGCGGTTACTGTATGTGCCAGCGTTGGTCACTCTTTCAGTACTTAAGCTCTCACAGCCAGAACGGATGCCGAGGATTTTTTTTTTTAAGATGGCATGTGTTTACAAGTCCTGAGGGACAGGATATGAGAGCCCCATGTACCCGTGGGAATTCTGAATCACTCCATATACTTAAAAGCGCCACATAGCCTTCTGCACAATGCAGTGGTTAAGGGCCCTGGTACATTTTTTTTCAATTTTTGTTTATTAGACAGCATAGATTATTAACTACATTTTTAGTTATATTTTATAGAAATTAGTCAACTCTGATATTATTTTTAAGTTATTGCCAATTACTCAAAAAAAAAATCAGCAAATAATGATGAGTTGCCAATTAGTATTTTTTTGGCTATAAAACCCTAAAGCAGATTAAATACAAATCACTGGAAAATACATACAAAATAAGTTACATATCATTAGAGGATACATGGTTGAGGGTTTATGATGCTGTATTTTTGGCAGGGGAATTTAAACCTCAAAATCATATTTGAAGCGTTTTCTTGAACCTCTCCATTAGTTTTTATGAAATTATCACAATACAAAAATCAGTGGGCTTTGCAAAGCTTACATTTTTGATAGTCTGAAAAAGTTTATTATGCAATATTTGTTTTGTTTTTTTTGATAATTTAAAAAATTCATAATTTTTATTAGGAAAATTATTTGTGTAAACTACTGTATATACAACTCATTTGGTCTTTCCAGCAATACCCAAAAATTTATTTCCAGTAATATTTAAGCAGCTAAAAAAAAAAAAAAAATTATATTTTAACTAATAATAGTAACCAATCCATGCTTATACTTTAAAAGGCTAAATATGAAAGAAATATACTGAAAAAATATTCAAAAGAAAACCTGGTTTGGTACCTTTAACCCAACCCAAATGTAACTACATAAACCCCATCTCTAACTGGAGAGGAAACTCTGAAGAAGACTTATATAGAGGAAACCAATCCTCTCTTAAGATATCCCTGGTGATTCAGACTGACATGCTAGGAAAATGAGTCTAGAATCAAAGCTGAACTAAAATAATAAACTGGGATTATATAAAGGTGGATCATATAAAACAATCATGAAGAGGGAAGGATAAAAACAAAGCAATGGCTCCACCTGGAACAAAGCTTACATTTTTATGAGGATTGCCAACACCACTTGTGCCAAAAAGTGGTGTACGTATCCCAGAAGCTTGTTTTGTTTCGGCTAATCTTTTAGGTTTGTTTCTTCAGCTTTGAATAGATATCTGATTTCCAAGGAACCCCTCACCTTGTAGAGCCAGTTTCTTGTCCTAGCTCCTAGGAGGAGACGTTGAGATGATACCAGTGTGAAAGCACCAGACGGCTATTGAGGGGGCCTGCCCAAAGCAGTTTTGTACTGTCTTTGTATTGTCACCTAAGACAATACATTAACAGTGGAACTTCATATAACATAGGTTAACAGAATCAAGGTTATGAATACTACCTTTTGTGGGGTTACAAAGAAACAAGCACATATAATAAGTAAAAATTTAATTGAAAATGTAAATACTTAAAATTAATTAGGCAGAATGTACATGTTTTGATAACTGTAAAACCAAGCAAAACTAAGTTGAAGTTTCCACATACAAGATTCTCAGAGGATCTGATAAGGTAGATAGACAATTTATTAACACAAGGCACATGCTCTAGGGGACACAGGTGGAAACTGAGTACCCAAATGAGCCAGAACGACATTAGGAAGAACTTCTTTAGTGTTAAAGTAGTTAACAAATGGAATGCATTAGGAAGTGATGTGGTGGAAACACACACCATCCGCAGTTTCAAATGTAGATATGACTGGTTCACTCAAAACTAGCTCGAACCCATTAGCACTATTAGCCACCACCAGGTGGCCTGGGCATTGGCCCACAGCCAGCTTCCCTGAATCAGTTCTGAAGCCGACAAACAACCTATCAACAAACGTTGAAGAGAGGGATGGGGGAGAATCCTGGAGCTATTGACGCTATACCAGAAGGAGGCACTTCATTAATCACTGCTGGGTTTCTAGGGGTGGGGGGAGTTCCTCTTGGTGACTTCCTGAAGCTAAATCACAATGGAGAAAGAAAACATGGGACTTACCAAGGAGGAAGAGAGGCAGTAGGTACTACCAGCGAAAAACACAACGAAACTACGTTGTTGCTACAACATTCAAACAAGTTGTAACACCTAACAACTATCTAACAAGTTGTAACAACTTTATAACACACGACAAAAGAGTTATTACAAGATGTAACAACTTTGTAACTAGTTGTAACACGATAACAATAGGGACCATTACGTTATGTGTTTGTAGGGTAAGAAAGATACCTTCAGCCGAGAAACACACAAGAGCGACCGAGACCAGAGAATTGACTAAATGCCAGGCCCTGTTAGACCACCAAAACTCCAGAGCAATATCAGCCAAGGACATGTTGTAGAAAGACTGCTGCACAAGCAGCATACAGTACTTGCAAACATGTAAGGCCCGTAAACATGTCAAGGAGGTCTGGTTAAGGACTGAACCGCAGGGTCGTTGAGCCCCAAGAACATCGCAAGGTAACTGCAAGGTAATGTAACATTATGGGCCTGAGGGTACACTCTAGGCTGGATGACACTGGATGACCTGGGAAATGCAAGCCTTGGAACGAGGGGGGCCATGGAAACAGGGTCAACGAACACAGTCAACTGAAGCAGAACCAGTGGCCTATAGGTATCAGCCCAGGCCACCTATGGACAACAAGTGGCCTATAGGTATCAGCCCAGGCCACCTACGGACAACAAATAATGCACCCCTGGTGGGACCAACCAAGCATTAATCCAGAAGCTTGCCAGAGAAGGCTGTAGTCAAATAAAATGCCAACCAGGGACAAAGAAGCAGAATTCCTGCCTCTGGAGAAGAAAATGTAGGTCCCCCACCTGGCAGCCAGAAGTGAGAGACAACAAAACCACCACCTTGAGAAAGACATCTCTGGCCAAAGTGGAAACAAAGACCCAAGGAGAGGAGATAAACACCAAAACCACTTCAAGAGAACATGACAGCTCAGAAGCATGAGCAGGCTGGAGATAAAAAAAAAGGCATTATATAACTTGTGAAATGGCACTGAATACAAATCAATGCCAAACCTAAGCAACAGCAGCTCTGTCTTCCGTCAAGCTCACTCAATGAGGTGATTCATAACAAAACTGACCAGAAGAGCAGAGGGGGCCATAAGCACAATCAGAGAACACTGTATAAACATCAGAGGTCCACGGTTGTTCAACACCCTCCCTGCGAGCATAAGAAATATTGCTGGAACAACAGTAGACAACTTCAAGGAGTGCTGGATCAACTGGGTTATG